GCATACATAAACGTTTTTTTTCTTTTTATTTTATCTAAAAAAATAAAAATAAAAAGTTAGTTGTAAAAAATAAAAATAAATATTTAAACATATTAATTAGTATTTAAATAATTACTTATAATTTATTTTTAATTAAATATATTTTTAATTGATATGCTATAACTCGATAATAATCTGCTATAAGTAATTTATTTTTAAAAAGTAAGTTTATAACTTGATATATATAACCTTAAATGTGTATAGGGTGTTATTTTTATATTAGGCAACTATACTTTTACGAAAATTTTCGATTATGCATGAATAAATTTATTTTAATTAGAAAAAAAAATAATACCCTTTAATTATTCAAAATAGATAAACTTTATCATCTATTACATTTTTGGCTAAAAAAATTCCTCATCGTTATATTTTGAGGCCCAAAACGAGGGATCAATTTTTCCTTTGGAAAATTCAAATAGGATAAAAATATATGAAATATAACCCTTTTTTTTTTCTCTCTTTTGATTTCTTACGCATTAGATATGAGTTATTCTTTTGTTAAATAAAAAAAGTTATTACCAAAACATGGAACTAAAAAGAAGAAGAAGAGAAGAGACTGAAGTATATAATACAGATGCATACCAATTACCATATACATTATTTAAAAATATATAATTATTACTATAACAATGTATATTGATATATATACATTTGTTTTATATTGTTATATACCATATATACGTTATTTATATAATATAGATAAATTACATACATATTAAATATACACAGAATCGTTAATTGATTTTTTAAAATATATTCGATGTGGACCGGTATACTTGTGTTAATGTTTCTAATAGCTTTGATGCATAGTTACATGATGAAAGAAAAATATAGAGCAAAGCAAATTAATTAAAAATGACTTTTATAAGAGATGTTTCTAAATTTTTTGGCTCCACTTAACAGATATCGACGTAAGAAATTTTAAAATTTGCTCATAAAATGAATATTCATGACATATCAAGATAATAAACCTACTCAATTGACCAATAATTAGAACTTAAATACGTTATCCTTTAAACATAAATTCTAACTTTTACTCATAGAACGAACGCACGTTCAAAGACATTTTAAGTGGCTAATTTCCACATTGATGATGCCTAGGAAAAACCAAAGTTGAACATAGGTTAAGGCCCGTTTGGATGGGCTTAATAAAAGCAGTTTT